GTAGAGGCCACAGGCTGACCTGGACGGCAGGCCTTGGGCCCCACGGCCCCATCTGTTTCCAGGCTCTCTGGCTGAGGCTGTCTGCCTGGAGGAGACATCAGGGGAGAGGCTCCTGGAGGAGGGGGTGGGAGAAAGGGGGGAAACGTAGCTTGAGCTGCAGTCACAGACCTTGGCTGGACCTGAGATGGCCCCTAGCTCCCAGGAGGACCATTGACCTTGCAGCGCCAGCCTTCTGCACACTCCAGCAAAGAATGAGTGGTGGCCACAGATGTGAGCAAAATCTGATGGCCTTCCCTCTGTCTGCGGACCACAGCTGCTCTCTGAGTGCCAGGGTGTTCCAACTGTTTAATTAGATTTTGTATATGTCGCCTTGGCAACCATGAATTACTTGGCCAAACTCCTGGCCACGGCTATTCCCCTCCCCACTTCTATCCAGAGCCATGTCCTCATCTAACTCCTGAACAACAAGCCAACACTCCCCCCTGCCCTGAGCCACCCAGGGCCAGGGGCAGGTGACCATGGCAGCCCCCAAGCACAAAGGCCCGATGGCAGTTTTCAAGCTGGCTCATTCCGAGCTGCTCACCCCGCCCTTCCTCCCCTTCCCACAGAATCCCCAGTCAAGGCTCTGGTCTTAGCTTTCCCGTCTGCCTCCTGACTGAACACAGGGTCTTCTCATGTGGCCCTGCGTAGGGTCCCCGCTGCTCAGGAAATGCAAGTAATAAAAATCCACATCAGCTTCTCCAAGTCTCCATTCAGTCATCTCCATGAACTAGAAACCCTGCAGGTAGGCCAGTTGCGCCTGTAATCCCAGCACTTTGGGAGACCAAGGTGGGAGGATCGCTTGAGCTCAGGAATTTTGAGACCAGCCTGGGCAACATGGTAAAACCACTTCTCTATCAAAAATACAAAAACTGGCCAGGCATGCACGTGTGGTCCAGCTACTCAGGAGGCGGAGGTGGGAAGATCACTCAAGCCCAGGAGGCAGAGGTTGCAGTGACCCAAGATCTCACCACTGCTCCAGCCTGGGTGCGAGTGAGACTCAAAAAAAAAAAAAAAAAAAAAAAAAAAAAAAAAAAAAAGACTGGGCGCGGTGGCTCAAGCCTGTAATCCCAGCACTTTGGGAGGCTGAGGCGGGTGGATCACGAGGTCAAGAGATCAAGATCATCCTGGTCAACATGGTGAAACCCCGTCTCTACTAAAAATACAAAAAAATTAGCTGGGCATGGTGGCGCGTGCCTGTAATCCCAGCTACTCAGGAGGCTGAGGCAGGAGAATTGCCTGAACCCAGGAGGCGGAGGTTGCGGTGAGCGGAGATCGTGCCATTGCACTCCAGCCTGGGTAACAAGAGCAAAACCCCGTCTCAAAAAAAAAAAAAAAAAAAACAAACTGTAGTTTTTCCACTCCTCCTCCTCCTCCATCTCCTCCTCCTCCTCCTTCTTCTTTCTTCTTCTTTTTTGAGATGGAGTCTTGCTCTGTCACCCAGGCTGGAGCAGTGTCGTGATCTCAGCTCACTGCAACTTCTGCCTCCCTGGTTCCAGTGATTCTCCTGCCTCCGCCTCCGGAGTAGCTGGGATTATAGGCGCACACTATCACGCCCAGCTGCTTTTTTGTATTTTTAGTAAAGATGAGGTTTCACTGTGTTAACCAAGATGGTCTTGATCTCCTGACCTTGTGATCCGCCTGCCTGAGCCTCCCAAAGTGTTGGGGTGCTGGGATTACATGCATGAACCACCAAGTTTAGCTTTTTTTTTTTTTTTTAGAACCCACAGTCTTTATTGTGTCTGAACACTCAGCCGGCCTGAGAAACAGGGACTCCCGGGATGGAGGCAGAACGAGGTCTGGGGGCAGCCTGGTGCACGGGCATTGGAGAGTAGGCAGCCTCCCCAGCCTGCCCACCCTCCAGCAACATCGTAGGCCAGACCCGGTCCAGGCCCTCAGCAACCATGGCCACAGGCTGCCAGGTGGGGAGCGGGAAGCGCCCAGACACCAAGCGGCCCCACTGGCAGCTCTGCCCGCAGCTTGTCCTCCAGAAGCGGGAGCTCGCCAGGGGCCAGGAACATTCGGCGGTCCCTCAGGCTCACCTCCCGGAGATCCTCGCGGCCATAGCAGATGCTGCTGTATATCTGGCCCTCCAGGCGTGCAGCCCGGGGGCCACCAGCAGGACCCACCGTTGCCAGAGCCCAGATCCACCGTTTTTCCAGGGCAGCCCTGGTAGCAGGGACAACACGCGCTCCACCTGCCGCTGGCTGACAACGACGGAGGGCACCTGCAGCCGCAACTGCACGCGCAGGAGGGGCCGGAGCAGCAGCGCCCACACCGCCTAGGTCGGGTCGTCCTGCTCCGTGGTGGCGGGCCATGTGGCCCACGGTCGGCTGCCCAAGGCCCTTCCTGGCTCGGGTCCGCGGCCCTCCTGGCCTGAAGCTGGCGGTGCACCCTCCCCGTCCCGCCGGGCACCGCAGGCTTTTTTTTTTTTTTAGCCTCCCTGCCATGGCCAGCCTCTGCCCTCATAGCTTCCCAGTCTACCAGAGGCTCTGGAGGCTGAAAGAGAGTAAGAGAGACCTAAGGTAGGCTGGGTGAGTAGGGGAAGCATCTCTGAACAAGTGACATTTAACTTGAATACTCAATAATGAGGAAAAGTTAGCTACAGAGTTGGGGAAAAGCATGACATGTTTGAGGAACTGAAGTGAGACCTGAGTGGCAGGAACAGAATGCGCAGGGGAAGGTGGGGCAAGGTGAGGTTGGAGAGGCAGGCAGGGGCTGGATCCTGCCGGGTTGGAGGTCAGGACCAGAAGCTTCAATTTTATTCTGAGTACAAGTGGGAAGCCACTGGAGGATTTTAAGCAGAGTGACACGATCCGATTTACATTTTTAAAAGATAACCCTTGCAGCTGCACAGTGAATTGGAAGCAAAGACAGCAGTTAGGAGCCTCTGCTGTTAAGAGGTGGTGATAGATAACCTGGCTTCGGAGGCAGTGGGATGGGTCGCAGCTTTTTTAAAAAACCAAAAAACAAGCCGGGCGCGGTGGCTCAAGCCTGTAATCCCAGCACTTTGGGAGGCCGAGGCGGGTGGATCACGAGGTCGAGAGATCGAGATCATCCTGGTCAACATGGTGAAACCCCGTCTCTACTAAAAATACAGAAAAACTAGCTGGGCATGGTGGAGCATGCCTGTAATCCCAGCTACTCAGGAGGCTGAGGCAGGAGAATTGCCTGAGCCCAGGAGGCGGAGGTTGCGGTGAGCCGAGGTCGCGCCATTGCACTCCAGCCTGGGTAACAAGAGCGAAACTCTGTCTCAAAAAAAAAAAACAAAAAACAAAAAACAGCCAAAGCTGTTTAAGAAGCCAAACTTGGCGCAGTGGCACATGCCTGTAACCCCAGCACTTCGGAAGGTGGAGGTGGGCAGATCATAAGGTCTGGAGTTGGAGACCAGCCTGACCAACATGATAAAACCCTGTCTTTACTAAAAAGACAAAAATTAGCCGGGAGTGCTGGCACACGCCTGTAGTCCCAGCTACTTGAGAGGCCGAGGCAGGAGAATCGCTTGAACCTGGGAGGCGGAGGTTGCAGTGAACTGAGTTTGCGCCACTGCACTCCAGCCTGTGTGACAGAGCAAAACTGTCTCAAAAAAATTAAAAAAGCTATAAAGGACATTTCATTTGAGTTAAATCTGGACTGTGGGCTAGGCCCTGACTTTGATCATTGTACTGTGTGGTGTCCTTGTTTTTAGGAAATAAACAGCAAAGTTTTTAGGTATCTCCAACTTCTCAAACGGAAAAAACAAAAAACCACCCATCCAGTATGTTTATATTTATAGAGGAAATTATTCAAAGATGGAGCAAAATGCAGACAGTAGGTGAATTTGGTGTGAGAGTATTAAACAGGGCCAGGCCAGCACTTTAGGAGTCCGAAGCAGACGGATCATGAGGTCAAGAGATCGAGACCATCCTGACCAACATGATGAAACCCCGTCTCTATTTAAAAAAAAAAAGAGAGAGACTATTAAACAAATGGAGCAATGAAGATATTGGCTCGTTTTGGGAACAGCAGTAGGGAGTTTTCCTTGTATCAATCTTGCAACTTTTCTATAATTTAAAAATCATATCCAAGTATAATTAAAAGCTACAAAGAAACTGCACACCTCCCATCATTTTTATTTACTGTAGTAAATAATACACAAATAAAAAATTACACATAAAATTTACTTTTTTGACACACTCGGGCTCTGTTACCCAGGCTGTTGTGCAGTGGTGCAATCTGAGCTCACTGCAGCCTCCACCTCCAGGGCTCAGGCGATCCTCCCGCCTCAGCCTCCCGAGTGGCCCAGTTAATTTCTTCTTAATTTTTTTTTGTAGACCTGGGGTCTCACTATGTTGCCCAAGCTGGTCTTGAACTCCTGGGCCCAAGTGATCCTCCCGTCTCGGCCTCCCAGGCTGCTGGGGTTACAGGCACCGGCAGCACAGCGGCCATTTACCGTTGCGAAGCTCGGACCTCGCAGGGCGGAGGCCGTGGCTCCGGCCCGTAACCCCGGCACTGAGGCCTGGGGTCCGAGCGCGGCCTGGGCAACGCCGGGAGACCCCCCGCCCCCAATACAACAACGCAATAAATTCGCAGGTGGCGGCGCGGGGCTGAGGTCCCAGCTACCAGGGCGGCGGCGGCGGCGAGCGAGGTCGGGCCGCGGCACCCCGGCCGGAGGGAGCGACCGGGCGGGATCCCGTCTCGAAACGAATAAAGAAACGAAAGAGGCAACGCCCCGGGGCCCTCCCGGCCGGCGCCGCACTCGCGCTCCCGCGGCCCGGGTCCGCTGCCCACGCGGCGCCCACGGAGCCACAGCAGAGGACGGGCCGCGTTCCGGCTGTCGATCCCTCGTCCGCGGAGGGCCGCGGCCACACACGGGCTCCACCGCACGCGCGGCCACCGCCAGCTCAACGGCGCCGCCCGGCCCCCGCAGACTGGAGGGAGGCGACCTTCGCCCCGGAAGTCCTCGTCGCGCTGACCCGGAAGCACTCGCGGCCGCTGTTTCCGCGCAGGGCAAAATGGCGTCGGCGCGGCGCGTGCGCGGTTGAGGATCCGGGACGCGGGTCCGCGGGCACCATGGTCTTCCTCACCGCGCAGCTCTGGCTGCGGAACCGCGTCACCGACCGCTACTGGCGCATCCAGGAGGTGCTGAAGCACGCCAAGGTGAGTGCCGCCCGCCCGCCCGCCCTGCCTGGGCACTGGGCGCCCGGGGGGTCCCGCGGGCCGAGGGGCGCCCGGCGCGAGCCCCGCTGACGACCCTGGCATCCCGTTTTCTGACCCAGCACTTCCGGGGGAGGAAGAATCGCTGCTACCGGTTGGCGGTCAGAGCCGTGACTCGCGCCTTCGTGAAATGCACCAGAGCGCGGTTCCTGAAGAAGCGGATCATGAGGACCGTAAGCCGCCCCCGAACCCTCGCCCGCCCGGCCGCCCGCGGCTCCCTGGCTCCGAAGCCGACGAATTCTGCGACCCCGCAGACGTAGGGACGTCCGTCCTCCCGCCCCCCGCCGCCCCCGCCGCCGCCCCCCGCCCGGGCCGCTGCCGAGCCGCCTTGCGCTCTCGCCGGGTGGCCGGCCACCGCCCCAGGCGCCGCCGCGCTCGTCCCCCCCGCCGCCCTCTTCCCCCCGCTGCGTGCGGCCTGCGGTGGCCTCCCTTCCTGCCGGCGGCCCCCTGCTCACCCTCCGGGGCCGCCGTCGGCTGCCGTGGTGCCCCTCGGAGAGACCGTGTCCGCTGGCGAGCCCCGCCCGCCCGGGCCCCCGCATTTCGGAGAGGCTGGCTCCTCCACTCTGTCCACCTGCCGCCATCTCTTTCCTGCGCCTCGCCACCCCCGCCTCAGCCTCGTGAACCTGTCCTCTAACATAGAGGGGTTTTTTCTCACTGTCGCCCAGGCTGGACTGCCAGGGCGCGATCTAGGCTCAGTGCAACCTCCGCCTCCCGGGTCCACGTGATTCTCCCATCCCAGCCTCCTGAGTAGCTGGGACTGCAGGTGTACGCCACCACACCCGGCTAATTTTTTTTTTTTTTTTTTTTTTGAGACGGAGTTTCGCTCTTGCTACCCAGGCTGGAGTGCAATGGCGCGATCTCGGATCACCGCAACCTCCGCCTCCTGGGTTCAGGCAATTCTCCTGCCTCAGCCTCCTGAGTAGCTGGGATTACAGGCACGCGCCACCACGCCCAGCTAATTTTTTGTATTTTTAGTAGAGACGGGGTTTCACCATGTTGACCGGGATAGTCTCGATCTCTCGACCTCGTGATCCACCCGCCTTGGCCTCCCAAAGTGCTGGGATTACAGGCGTGAGCCACCGCGCCCGGCCTATTATTACTGTTTTTTGAGATGGAGTCACTCTGTCGACCAGGCTAGAGGGAGTGCAGTGGCACGATCTTTGCTCACTGCAACCTCTGCCCCCTGGGTTCAAGCACCCTGCCTCATTCTCCTGAGTAGCTGGGATTACAGGGGCCTGCCACTGTGCCCTGCTAATTTTTATTTTTTATTTTCAGTAGAAATGGGGTTTCACCTTCTTGGCCAGGCTGGTCTTGAACTCCTAACCTCACCATCCACCCATTGGCCTCCCAAAGTGCTGGGATTACAGGCATGAGCAACCACGCCTGGCCAACATCTCCATGTTTCCTTATTTCAGCTCTGGATTAATCGAATAACAGCTGCTACCCAGGAACACGGCCTGAAGTATCCAGCATTCACTGGTAGTTTAATTAAGGTATGGGTGAGTACTTGGACCCCGCTGAGATTCTGGACATCTGCAGAAATCTTCCTGCTGGCTGTGGTGGTGCCTCCTGTAGCCACAGCTACTGAGGAGGCTGAGGATACTTCAAGCCTGACTTCTGGGCTGTAGTTTGCTATGCTGATGGAGTGTCCTTGCTAAGTTTGGTATCAACGTGGTGACCTCTTGGGAGCAGGGGACCACCAGGTTGCCTAAGGAGGGGTGAACAGCTCAGGTTGGAAAGGGAGCAGGTCAAAATTTTCAGGCTGATGAGTGATGGGATTGTGCCTGGGAATAGTGCCAGCAACAGACTGAGCAACATAGTGAGACTACTCTCTACAAAAAATTAATAAAATTAGCTGAGTTTGGTGGCACAGACCTGTAGTCTCAGCTACTGAGGAGGAGTCTGAGACAGGAGGATCGCTTTGAGCCCAGGAATTTGAAACTGTGGTGAGCTATGATGGCACCACTGGACTCCAGCCTGGGTGAGAGCAAGACCTTGTCTCAGAAAGAATAAAGAAACCCATGGTGGGGTGCAGTGGCTCACTCCTGTGATCCCAGCACTTTGGGAGGCTGAGGTGGGCGAATCACCTGAAGTCAGGAGTTCAAGAGCAGCCTGACCAACGTGGCAAACGCTGTCTCTACTAAAAAAAGAAAAAGTAGCCGGCCGTGGTGGTGGGCACCTGTAATCCCAGCTACTTGGGAGGCAGAGGCTGCAGTGAACCAAGATTGTGCCACTGCACTCTGCCTGGGCAACAGAGTGAGACTCCGTCTCAAAAAAAAAAAAAAAGACACCAGGTGCGTTGGCTCACGCCTGTCATTCCACCACTTCTTTGGAAGGCCAAGGTGGGTGAAGCAGGAGGTCAGGAGATCGAGACCATTCTGGCTAACATGGTGAAACCCCATCTCTGGTAAAAATACAAAATATAGGCCGGACGCGGTGGCTCACGAGTGTAGTCCCAGCACTTTGGGAGGCCGAGGCGGATAGATCACGAGATCAAGAGATCGAGACCATCCTGGTCAATAAGGTGAAACCCCGTCTACTAAAAATACAAAAAGTTAGCTGGGCATGGTGGCGCATGCCTGTAATCCCAGCTACTCGGGAGGCTGAGGCAGGAGAATTGCCTGAACCCAGGAGGCGGAGGTTGCGGTGAGCTGAGATCGCACCATTGCACTCCAGCCTGGGTAACAAGAGCGAAACTCCGTCTCAAAAAAAAAAAAAGAAAAAGAAAAAGAAAAACTTGGCTTTAACTTCAAAGTTTAATTTGAAAGGTTTTTGTTTTTGTTTTTGTTTTGAGATGGAGTCTCCCTCTGTAGCCCAGGCTGGAGTGCAGTGGTGAGATCTGGGCTCACTGCAGCCTCCGCCTCCTGGGTCCCAGTTCAAGCAATTCTAATCTCAGCCTCCCAAGTAGCTGGAATTACAGGCACGAGCCATCATGCCCAGCTAATTTTTGTATTTTTTAGTAGAGATGGGGTTTCACCATGTTGGCCAGTCTGGTCTTGAACTCCTGACCTCGTGATCTGCCCGCTGTTGGCCTCCCAAAGTGTTGGGATTACAGGCGTAAGCCACTGCACCCGGCAATTTAAAAGTTTGTACGAGTCTGGGTGCAGTGGCTCATGCTTATAATCCCAGCACTTTGGGAGGCACATAAGGTCAGGAGTTTGAGACCAGCCTGGCCAACGTGGTCAAACCCCGTCTCTACTAAAAATACAATACAAAATTACCCAGGCATGGTGGTGCACGCCCGTAATCCCAGCTACTTGGGAGGCTGAGGCAGGATAATGGCGTGAACCCAGGAGGTGGAGGTTGCAGTCAGCCAAGATCGTGCTGCTACACTTCAGCTTGGGCGACAGGGCAAGACTCCCATCTCAAAAAAAAAAAAGTTTTAACAATGAATGATTTCTGATGACATAGCAGGTGAAGTGGAGACTTCCAGTAAGGAATGGGGAGTGTTTTGGAGCGAAGGGATGGTTTATGCAAATGCTGCAAAGTCTTGATGATGACCAAATCTGGTCATGCTATTCCCTCTGCTTTTGTGTACATTAAATATTTTTTTCTTTTCTTTTTTGAGACAGAGTCTTGCTCTGTCACCATCCTGGAGTGCAGTTGCGTAATCTTGGCTCACTGCAACCTCCGCCTCTTGGGTTCAAGCGATTCTTCCACCTCGGCCTCCCGAGTAGATGGGACTGTAGGTGTGAGCTACCACACCCGGCTAATTTTTGTATCTTTAGTAGAGACAGGGTTTCATCATGGCCAGGATGGTCTCGAGCTCTTGACCTCGTGATCCGCCCGCCTCGGCCTCCCAAAGTCCTGGGATTACAGGTGTAAGCCACCACGCCTGGCCCTACATTAAATATTTCTTAAAAAGTTATGGAGTTAGCCAGGCATGTTGGCTCATGCCTGTAATCCCAGCCCTTTGGGAGGCTGAGGCAGGTGGATCACCTGAGATTGGGAGTTGTTTTTTTTTTTAAGAGAGACAGGGTCTCCCCATGTTGGCCAGGCTGGTCTCGAAATCCTGACCTCAGGTGATCCCCCCACCTCGGCCTCCCAAAGTGCTGGGATTATAGGTGTGAGCCACCACGCCCAGCGAGATTTGGAGTTTGAGACCAGCCTGGCCAATGTGGTGAAACCCTGTCTCTACTAAAAATACAATAATTAGCCAGGCGTCATGGCGGGCATCTGTAGTCCGAGCTACTCAAGAGGCTGAGGCAGGAGAATTGCTTGAACCCAGGAGGTGGAAGTTGCAGTGAGCCAAGACTGGGCCACTGCACTCCAGCCTGGGTGACGAAGCAAGACTCTGTCTCAGACAAAAAGAAACAGTTAAGGGGGTAGACGTTTTGCAGAAGGCTGTCTTTGGTGCTTTACAAAGATCCTCAGGGTATGCTTAGGAGGTTTCATATTTCATATTCCCATTTTACTCAGGGAATTGTAGCTGAGAAAGGAGACAGACTGCACAAGGCACACAGGTCACAGGGAGCGCAGCTAGTCCACTTTGTTCTTGGTAGTGGATTTTTTTTTTTTTTTTTTTTTTTTGAGACAGAGTCTCACTCTGTTGCCCACGCTGGAGTGCAGTGGTGCGATCTCAGCTCACCGCACCTCCGCCTCCCAGGTTCAAGCGATTCTCCTGCCTCAGCCTCCACAGTAGCTGGGATTATAGGCGTGGGCCATCGTGCCCAGCTGATTTTGTATTTTTTAGTAGAGATGGGGTTTCTCTATGTTGGCCAGGCTGTTCTCGAAGTCTGGACTTCAGGTGATCCACCTGCCTCGGCCTCCCAAAGTGCTGGGATTACAGGCGTGAGCCACCGTGCCAGGGCCTGGTAGCTAAGTCGAATGCTCAGAGGCTGCCTCCCTTCTTTTCCGCTCCTTTAAGTCCGGCATTGTTCATCAGCTTTCTGAAATCATCTGCAGTTCTTAGCTCTCTTGTAGAACTTCCAGGTTGACCTAAAGGGTTACTCAGGGCAAGGGCCACTGACCCTGAACGAGATCTTTGGTTCTATGGGCTGACACCAGGACTGGACTGCAGCCTCCCCCAGATCACACTGATTCCACAGGTGCCTCCCTCACCCTTGTCCACATCTCCTGGGCCCCCACCCCCCAGGGAATGTTCATCTGCATTCTTCCTGAGCCAGGGCGGAGCTGAGCCTCCCTGAAGTGCGAGTGTGATGCTGACTGCAGGCTCTGATTCTTTTCCCAGTGCCAGGTGGAGCTCAACAGGAAAGTCCTAGCGGATCTGGCCATCTACGAACCAAAGACGTTTAAATCTTTGGCTGCCCTGGCCACCAGGAGGCGACATGAAGGCTTTGCTGCTGCTTTGGGGGATGGGAAGGAGCCGGAAGGCATTTTTTCACGAGTGGTGCAGTACCACTGAGGATTGCTGTATTCATCAGGAAAAGATGGAGTCATTTGCACTTTCTTGGATTTGTACTTGTGTTTATCTACATTCTAGCCTCTCTCTGGGACAGAGCCTCACAGACGACTTCTGTGCTTCATGTGAGTGAAACTCAAACACTGTTCAGGTTTTAGAGCCATTTTCCTATATCAAGCGAACACTCTGTGGAGCTCACCTTGCTTCAAGGCTGCTGCAGACACCTGGTTGTGGGATGCAGCTGAGCAAGCTGTTGCCTTCTGCACACTGGGAGGGCCACTCCAGGCCCCCTCAAGGGCTGCATGTGCAGCGCCTGCTTGCCAGTTCCCTGAGCCCTACCTACTCCATCCCGCCCAGGACTGACCTCAGACCTTGCTCTGCCCCGTCCCCCCGGGCTCATGTCCAGCAGAGCCCTGTGGCTCAGCTCTGCCACAACTCAGAACACCAGCCTCAGCTTCCCTACGTGCCCCACATTCAGCAGCCCAGCAGGAATTGGGGGAAATGTCCCCACATCAGGTGGGTGGTGGTCTGGTCCCTGCAGGCTGGACTGACTTCAGCCATCTCCAGGAAGCAAGACCCAACAGACAACTGTCCATTAACCCCAAGGCTGATGTACGTCTCCCCTGGTCTTTCTGCCCCAGGAAGGCTCTTGAGATCTGGGTTACCCGCTGCTGTCTCCTTCATTTACACAGCAGCGCACGCACCCCGCCCCAACCTGCTTGTCTTGCTGATACTGCCGTAGGAGCACCTAGAGTGAGCGCCCTTCTCCCCACCAAAGGCAGCTGGCTTGCATCCTGTGGGCATGTGCCCTTCACCCTTGGCCAGCAGTTGCTGGGGAGTCTTTCTGGGCCTTTTCTTAGACTCCCCACCCACTTCTAGCCTGCATAGAGAAGCAAAGTCCTGGCCACTTGCTAGAGATGGCTTCAGGCTGACCACTCCATTCTTAGTGCAGGCTGTCGTCCTTCCCGGCTTCCATCACTGCATGGCTCTCTCAGAGGCCCCCTCCTGGCCCATCACTGTGCTTGATGACAGCCACCACGTCTGAAGCCTTTGGGGGCTGGGGACCAAGTCTCATTCGGCATCGTCTGGCTGTGTGCAGGGGGCGTTAAAAGCCCCTCAGCCCTTGGAAGATGGCTCCTGGGTGACAGGTGGACAGAGCCTTGGGCGGCCACAGTTTGTGCACACTGCTGCACTGTGGCAAAGCTGCCTGTTCTGCATCCCGTCTTGATACACGAATACACGGACGTGGCAGACCACTGTGGGCTGCTCCCAGCATGCACTCGCTTTGTGGCGGCAGGCGCTCTGGTGCCATGGTCCTGTTCCCAGGCAGCTCCGGGGCCTGGGCCTGATGGGCTGGAGGCACCGCCACCTCCCAGTCTGGCAGTCACAGCTGAGGGAATGGGCATGCAGCACCAATGAGAAACCGGCGGTGCGTAGCTATAACGCTCACAAGACTGCCAGCTTCGGGTGGGGAAGGAGGACGTGGGTGAAGCTGTAGCCATATCCTGTTGCCCATGGCAGGCGGTGCGGAGAGCGGGTCTTGGTGGTTACTGTTTGAGCTGCAGTATCAAGTCATGGCAGAGCTAGTGGACAGCTGGACCTGGGGGCGGGTGAGGGGCACTGGTGACCTCTGGATTTCAGCCCGTTTAAACTGGGCAGTCACTTAATTCTAAATCTGAAAAAACAAAAACGGTGCAGTCACTGGCAGCTCGGTGTGAACTGACACCCAGGCCTCTGCTGACCCCCACTCTTCCCCGCCCGGTGCAGGCTTCCCCACCATCCTCACCCGGGGTTCCGTACTGGCCCTGGCGAATGTTCGGGGTAACCGCAGCAACAGATCGGTCCTGCATCTGCTCCTCCCACACAGCTGGGATCGCCCGCAGGACCGCCGCAGGTGGCCAAGAACCGTGAACCCGTGACGGGCCGGGCGTGAGGTCGCCTGGGGGAGGATCGGCGATGTCACGAACTCCTTCGCCGTCTCCCAGCCGTCTGTGGGGTTCTGTCCAAGCTCCTCCAGACGGAGCGCACCGGGCCTCGCTCCCCGGACCCCTTCCGTGGGCCCGAGCCGAGGTACTGGGGCCGCCCCGCGCTGGAAGGGCTCTGCAGGGACGCCGAGGCCATGTCTCCAGTCATCCTCCACCCATCTCTCCCCAGGGACTGAGTTTTGAAGGCAAGACTTTGCGGGAGTCTCGCGGTCATGGGCATCCCCAAAGCCTGGAGTCGGGAAGGACTGGAGACACGATGCCCACGACGGCCGGGGGACACCGGGCACGCGCGTCTCATTCAGGGCGAGGCCAAATGGAGCCTCTGGCCATGCCGCGCACCCAGGGGATGGCAGTGGGGGTCGTCCCAGCCCGGACCCCACCGACATGGACCCCCCTTGACCCATAGGACTTCCGAGACGCGAGCTTCCGCCACCAGGGGAGTCTCTGTTCGAACGTGGGCGGCTTCCGAGAAGCCCCTCCCCGCTCGGGGCGCCCGGGCAGGCGCTCTCAACCAGGCATCCGCGCCTCCGCTCGGGGCAGAAGTGCTTCCGGGTCGGCCGGCACCGCGGAGTTCCCTGGGTAACGAGCCGGCCCTCAGACCTGAGCCAGGTTCCGGCGACGGCGTTAGGCGCGTTGCTGACGGGCAGGTGGAGTAGCCAATCGTCGCTAGGCTGCGTCACGCTGCCCGCAGGCCGAGCCAATGGTATGAGACGGGGCGGGGCGGTGGCAGCAGTAGAACGTCGCGAGGAGCCGCCCTGCGGGAAGAAGTCGTAAGGGAGTCGGCAGCACAAAATGGCGGCGGTGGCGGCAGCGGCGGCGGCGGCTGGGGCTGCGGGGTCCGCAGCTCCTGCGGCAGCGGCCGGCGTCCCGGGCTCTGGGGGCGCAGTCCCTGGGTCTCAAGGTGTGCTGATTGGGGACCGGCTATACTCCGGGGTGCTCATCACCTTGGAAAACTGCCTCCTACCTGACGACAAGCTCCGCTTCACGCCGTCCATGTCGAGCGGCCTCGACACCGACACGGAGACCGACCTCCGCGTGGTAGGCTGCGAGCTCATCCAGGCGGCCGGCATCCTGCTCCGTCTGCCTCAGGTGAGGATGCGGCCGCGAGCCTCGGGCCGAGGTAACCGCCCGGGCAGCAGCCGCCCTTTGTTGGCGAGGGTTGGTCCCGCGCCGCGCCCATCCGGGCCCCGACCCCACACCCCCGCCCGCCCCGTCCCGACCCCGACCCCGACCCCACCCCCGCCCCGTCCTGACTCGACCCTGACCCCGGCCCCACCCCCGCCCCGACCCGGATCCCGACCCCGACCCCGACCCCACACCCGGGCCCGGACCCCACTCCTCGGTCCCGACCCCGACCGCACACCCCGGCCCCGACCCCACACCCCGACCCCGACCCTGAGCCCACACCCCGGCGCCGACTCCATTCCTCGGCCCCGACCCCACCCCCGCCCCGATCCCACCCCGACCCCGACCGCACACCCCGGCCCCGAGCCCACACCCCGACCCCGACTCCATTCCTCGGCCCCGACCACACCCCCCGCCCCCAACCCCAACCCCCGTCCCGACCCCAGCCCTGGCGCCAATCCCAAGTCCCCTCCTGCCCCTGCCCCTGCCCCTGCCCCTGCCCCTGCCCCTGCCCCTGCCCCTACCCCTGCCCCTGCCCCTGGGCCTTCTCTCTGGTGCTGGATCCCAAGACGGCAGGACTCAAAGAACATTTGTGGACCTGGGAAACGTTTCAGTGTTTGCTTCTGAGTCGGGAGTCCTACGTTACTTAACTTTGGGCCGCGAAGGCTTTGAATGGTGCGTTTGAAAATACGGAAACTCGGCCGGGCGCGGTGGCTCAAGCCTGTAATCCCAGCACTTTGGGAGGCCGAGGCGGGTGGATCACGAGGTCAAGAGATCGAGACCATCCTGGTCAACATGGTGAAACCCCGTCTCTACCAAAAATACAGAACATTAGCCGGGCATGGTGGCGCGTGCCTGTAATCCCAGCTACCCGGGAGGCTGAGGCAGGAGAATTGCCTGAACCCAGGAGGCGGAGGTTGCGGTGAGCCGAGATCGCGCCATTGCACTCCAGCCTGGGTAACAAGAGCGAAACTCCGTCTTAAAAAGAAAATACGGAAACTTTCCTTTACTCTAGGTGGCCATGGCTACCGGGCAGGTGTTGTTCCAGCGGTTCTTCTACACCAAGTCCTTCGTGAAGCATTCCATGGAGGTAAGGGCCCCTTCCTGCGCTTCATTCCCAGTGAAATATATTGAGGGGAAACAGTTTTTGTTTGCCCGGTTACTCGGGAGAGTGTGTCTGCTCTCTAGTGTCAGCTCTGTGCCGGAGAGTTCTGTTCTCGGCTTCTTTTCCCCTGGGTGCATTTCGGTCTGAATAGCCCTCAAGCCTTTGGCCCGTCATGATGCGGTGGCTGGGGACAAACATGGGTGTGTTGCGATGCTTCCACTACAGCATGTGTCAATGGCCTGTGTTCACCTGGCTTCCAAGATAGAAGAGGCTCCAAGACGCATACGGGATGTCATCAATGTGTTTCACCGCCTCCGACAGCTAAGAGAGAAAAAGTGAGTCAATCAGCGCTGTCTGCGTTTTTTTCTGGTTAAATTACGCCAACGTTTCTTTAACAAAGTACAGGCCTGAGGTTTTAAACCTGTGGGATGTTCCGGAGCGCATTTTCAAGTTCCTCTAACAGGGCCTACTCAGGCGTCAGCAGGTGCTGTTGAACATGACGGCCGGGGCTCCAGTGAGGACCGGGCACTGTGGCCCGTGGCCCTGGTGCTGGTTTCCTGCTTTACCCATGTCAGCGCATGGCCCTGTTGCTGCTTGTTTCCCATAAGTTTCTGAAGGTTCTAGAGCAGGAATTCTTAATCTCAGCAGTGTTGACATTCTAGGTGGATAATCCTTTCCCCCCGCCCGCCTGAGACAGGGTGTCCCGTAGCCCATGGTGGAATGCAGTGGCATGATCATGGCTCACTGCAGCTTAAACCTCCTAGGCTCAAGAGTTTCTCTTGCCTTAGCCTCCTGAGTAGCTGGGACTGCAAGAGCATGCCACCACGCCTGTTAATTTTTTTGTTTTTTATTTGGTAGAGATGGGGGTCTTGCTATGTTGTCCAGGCTGGTTTCAAATTCTTGGACTTCAGGGATCTGCTGGCCTTAGCCTCCCAAGGTACTGGGATTACAGGCTGGGTAATCTTTAGTTGTGGTGGGTTGTTCTGTCTGTTGCAGGATTCAGCATCCGCCCTGGCCTCTACTCACTGGATGCCAGGAGTATTCCAGCTTAGTTGTGATGGCCAAAAATTTTCTCATACCAGGTGTGGTGGCTCATACCCGTAATCCCAGCACTTGGGAGGCTGGGGAGGGTTTGCTTGAGGTCAGGTGATTGAGGCTGCAGTGACGCCACTGAGCTCTAGCCTGGATGACAGAGACTCTGCCTCCAAAAAACCCAAAGTCTCTTGATGTTGCTTCATGGCCCTGGAATAGCAAAACTGCTCCAGTTGAGAACCACTGGCTCTGAACTTAGCCCAATGCTTATGCTCCTGAAGTTAACAGAAGTTCTTTAGAAAACACGGCCTCTGGCCGGGCACACTGGCTCACGCCTGTCATCCCAGCACGTTGGGAGGCCGAGGCAGGTGCAACACCTGAGGTCATGAGTTCAAGACCAGCCTGCCAACGTGTTGAAACTCTGTGTGTACCAAAAATACAAAAAAGAAAAAATGAGCTGGGCATGGTGGCAGGCAGCTGTCATCTCAGCCACTCGGGAGGCTGAGGCAGGAGAATTGGTTGAACCCAACGGGCAGGTTGCAGTGAGGCGAGATCGTGCCATTGCACTCCATCCTGGCAGAGAAGAGCAAAACTTCATCTCGAAAAAAGAAAAAATACAGCCTCATGTTTAATTTTTGAGATGGAGTCTTTCTGTATTGCCCAAGCTGGAGTGCAGTGATGTGATCTTGGCTCACTGCAGCCTCTGCCTCCCGGGTTCAAGCAATTCTCCTGTTTCAGCCTCCTAAATAGTTGGAACTACAGGCCCATGCCACCTCGCCTGGCCATCTGTGTTTTTGTTTTTGAGACAGTCTCACCGTGTCACCCAGGCTGGAGTACAGTGATACAATTGTGGTGAACTGAAATCTCTGCCATCCCCCACCCCCGCCCTTCAACAAGGGATTCCCCTGCCTCAGCCTCCTAAGCAGGTGGCGTTACAAGCAGCTACCACCACGCCTGGCTGGTTTTTGTGCTTTTTTTAGTAGAGACAGGATTTCACCATGTTGGACAGACTGGTCTCAAACTTCTGAGTTCAGGCAGTCCGCCTGCCTCGGCCTTCCAAAATGCTGGGATCATAGGAGTGAGCCACCGCCCTGGCCCATCTGTATTTAAATACTGTCCTTCATTGGTTTATGGGTTATTTAACCATGAGCATGTATCCTTACATCTTGAGCCACACAAAGTGCTTTTAGCAGTGGTGCCATGAGATCCTAAAACCGTTGCTGTGTGCAGTTTGTGCTCGCACACCAGAAGCTGTTGATCTGTAAGGAACAGTGGGAGGATCGTGGGGATGGGATAAGTAGGTTGGCACTGCGCTGTGAGGAATGTTGTGTGGTCTTGTTAGTTAGAGGACGTGGCCATCGCAGCCATGTGTGTGTCGGGTTTGCATTAGGCGCTCAGAGTTGGAGGTAATGGTGGCATGTCAGAAGCCTTGTTCTGCTTGACCCTGACGCAGACCCTGTGCTCTCTCTTTCGTAGGAAGCCTGTGCCTCTACTACTGGATCAAGATTATGTTAATTTAAAGAACCAAATCATAAAGGCGGAAAGACGAGTTCTCAAAGAGCTGGGTTTCTGCGTCCATGTGAAGCACCCTCACAAGGTGGGTGTGTGGCTCTCGCCCTGTGAGCCTGCGCAGACCACCACTGCAGCTGGGCCACCTCGCCACCTCAGTGCGGCTGAAGGCTGTGACAGGCGCTGAGTGCATCCCTGACTCGACTTCCCACTTTACACCCGCAGTTCAAAAACGGTTCCTGATGCATTAGTTTTTCAGGGTTAGCTGTTTATCTTAGTAACACATTTATAAGAGTTTTGGAAATGGCATGGTTTAAGTTTGGGCTTTCAAAAATAGTGGTGAGTTTGTAAAAATTAAATTTGTTAGTATTATGTTTTTCTGGAGTGTCGTGGCGCAATCTCTGCTCTCTGCAACCTCCGCCTCCTTGGTTCAAGCAATTCTCTTGCCTTGGCCTTTCGAGTAGCTGGAATTGCAGGCGCCTGCCACCACAGTTGGCTAATTTTTTGTATTTTTAGTAGAGATTGCGTTTCACTGTGTTGACCAGGCTCATCTTGAACTCCTGACCTCAGGTGATCCACCCACCTCGGCCTCCCAAAGTGTTGAGATTACAGGCGTGAGCTGTCGTACCTGGCTTTTTTTTTTTCTTTGAGATGGAGTCTTGCTCTGTTGCCAGACTGGAGTGCAATGGTGTGGTATCGGCTCACTGCAGCCTCAGCCTCCTGGGTTCAAGTGATTTTCTTGCCTCAGCTTCCCGAGTAGCTGGGACTATAGGCATGTGCCACTACCTGGCTAGTTTTTGTATTTTTAGTAGAGACAGGGTTTCACCATGTTGGCCAGGATGGTCCTGACCTTGTGATCCACCCACCTCAGCCTTCCAAAGTGCTTGGATTACAGGCGTGAGCCACCACACCTGGCCCTTTTTTTGTGTGTGTGAGACGGAGTCTCACTCTGTTACCCTGTTGGAGAGCAGTGGTGCAATCTCAGCTCACTGCAACCTCTGCCTCCCAGGTTCAAGTGATTGTCCTGCCTCAGCCTCCCAAGCAGCTGGGATTACAAGCATGCGCCACCACGTCTGGCTGATTTTTGTATCTTTAGTAGAGACGGTTTCACCATGTTGACTAGGTTGGTCTTGAACTCTTGAGCGCAGGTGATCTGCCTGCCTTGGCCTCCTAGAGTGCTGGGATTACAGGCATGAGCCACCACACCCGGCCCTCATCAGCTAATTTTCTAAAGATGCTTTAGTCTTACTTCTTATGGAGGAATTAGAGGATTCTGGCTCCTGTAGTCTGAAATGACTGGAAGCCTTTTGCGGCATGTACTGACTGAGGCCCGTGGCTGCTACGCTGTCCGTTACTTCCAGCATTGTGGGTGCCTTCCTTGTTACATGGAAACAAAGCACTTGTCTTACCCAAAAGATTGTTTCTGTTTTGGTTTCCTCTCCTTTTTATTGGTGGGTTTCCTCATTTGCTTGTTCAACTTTCTCCCATTTGTTCAAATTATTTGTAAATTGCTCACCACAGATTGAAATCGTTTCCTTTTTTTTTTTTTTTTTTTTTTGGAGACGGAGTTTTGCTCTTGTTGCCCAGGCTGGAGTGCAGTTATGCGATCTCAGCTCACTGTAACTTCCACCTCCCACGTTCAATCTATTCTCCTGCCTCAGCCTCCCGAGTAGCTGGGATTACAAGCATGCGCCACCACACCTGGCTATTTTTACATTTTTAGGAGAGGTGGGGTTTCTGCATGTTTGTCAGGCTGGTCTCGAAATCCTGACCTCAGGTGATCCACCCGCCTTGGCCTCCCAAAGTGCTGGGGTTATGGGCATGAGCCACCATGCCCAGCCTTAAGTGCTTTTCCCTGTTTGCTGAAAGTATGTTCATATTGTGTTTTGGTGAGTTGGTAACTGGGGTCCAGAGCCGTGTAGGATAGGCCAGCCTCACTGGTAGAAAGTACTGAAGACGAGAACGAAACCAGCCCTGTGAAGAAGGAGGCCTCTGCCATGGGTTGTGCGTGCATGCATCCTGTCTGGCTGCCAATCAATGCAGACAGCAGGTGCATCTGCAAAACTCCCTGCCGCCCAGCTGTCCGCCACACATGTGGCCAGGAGCCACTCCTGGGATCTAGCATGAGGCTCTTGTTTGCTGCATGGACACCCACAAGATCTGAATTCTGGGCTTTTAAGGTTCTTGCTAATAACTACCTGACCCGTATCTTCCAGATAATCGTTATGTACCTTCAGGTGTTAGAGTGTGAGCGTAACCAACACCTGGTCCAGACCTCATGGTGAGTTGAGCTTCCTTGTTTTATGAGACCAGCAAGGGCAGTGCAGGAATGTGTGACTTGAGGCACTTGGGCAGTGGGTAGGCCGCCCAGTGACTTGGTTGTGGGCTGGAGTTGTGTGAGTGCCCAGTGCTCCTGCTGTGTAAATTCCAGTCAGACTCCCAAAATGGGCACTGTCAGTAACGGTAGGTGGCTCGTCCCCTCGCTGCAGCCCTGCGCTTCCTGTGCCCCGACCCTGAGGAGAGCAGTCAGTGGGTGTCCTCAGGGAGCTGTGACATGGCACAGTGGGGCCGTTTCCCAGGGACGTGGAGGCTAACGTAGACTTAGTGTCTCTGTCTCCCTGAAATCACATCTCATGGGAAAGGGGCAGAGAAGGCTCTGGGACTGATGTTAACAATGCATGTGCCAGAAAGGAAGCCAAAAGTGGCAATTTAGTGTTTGGGGTTTTTTGGTGAAATTTTTCCCATGGAGTTAAGTCTGTAAGGGTCATATTTTTGCTGACTGAATTGTCTGGTGCTATGACATGTTTAATAGAGAACCTATTTTGACTTTTCTTTTCTGTACTCTTTCAATCAAAGGGTAGCCTCTGAGGGTAAGTGACTAAGACTTCTCCTCTGCTGTCCAAGCGCTTTGGTGCAGGGACAGCGGCGTCTTCAGCCAATCCAGTGCAGGCTCTCCACCGAAGGCTGGCCCTAGACGGGTGGTACGCGCACATAGCATAGCCACGGCCGACGGCTGCTTGTGGTTCTCTGGCGATTGTGCTGCTTGTTAACCTCTGTCGCGCTTTGGTAATTGTATTGAGTAGAGTTGGTAACTGTCTTGACTTGAATTTTGTCCCTTTAAAACTGCTGTACCTGTATGATAAAGATGCAGTACCTTTCTCTTTAAAAAAAAAAAAAAAAATGGCGTGGAAAGCTGTCAGAATTAAAGTGACAAATTGGCTGGGGGAACCCGCCTGTCCGCGGGAGAAGTCTCAAGTTGCTCTTTCAGCAGCTTCACGTGACACATTCTAGTAAAGGTGTGCATCTTTAAATCATTCCATGGATACTTGAAAAAATATTGTAACATTTCAAATATAGCAGTAAGTTTATATGTTCTGAAGATTGCATTTGTTTTTAAGACTTAAAAATTAGTGGATTAATATTATGAGTACTTGAATACTGAAAATTGTTTATTAGAAACGAAAAGGTTACTGATGTTGATCTGTGTTTGAGCTGCTCACTGCTCCCTTGCTTCAGGGGGTGTGGCCGCACGGCTGTCACACAGATTCCCTCTTCATGCCTGGAGCTGCTTCCAGAGCCACGTGCCTCTAGGCACCTGTAGAACTTAACATTTAGAAATCTCTGAATGAGTTTGTATGTTACCTTCTCCAAGGTTTCTGTATGACCGGGGTTGGGGGAGGGCAATCCTTCAGATCCCTGCATGACTTGTCACATCGGCGGGCGCAGCCCAACTCCAAGGCTTACTGTTACCGGGGTACGTGAGGAGCAGTGAATGTAAGACCAGATCACCTGTCCTCATGGGATCAACCCTTTTCGTTAATGCAGTATTCCTAAAGCTAGTATAAGGTCTGGTGTTAGACTGTTAAAGTTTAGATGTATTTAAAGGAAAATGCTAAAAATGTCCATTTTTAAATGCTTTAACTTTAAAAAGATGTGTATTTTTGTATTTTTATAGCTTCTAAATATGATGAAATTTAAAGAATGTACTGTGATGAAACGTTCAGTATTGTGTTGCTTCTGATTCTATGAATGTTCATTTTAAGACTCCTTGTTGAAATGGGACAGTTGGCAGCGGCTCTGGTGAGCCCAACAAGAGGCCTGCCCTTGGGTGCGGAGCCTCCCTCCCTCTGCACGACGCTCCCATGCGTCCAGCTTACACCCCGGGGGCTTTTCCCTCTTCCAAGTGGACTCCTTCAAGCAAGCCGCAGCTCGGTCACCAGAGAAGGGCCCTGCCGCCGGCGGCCTTGCGGAAGAGGAGGGAGGACAGCGAGAGGACCGCCCGTGTCCCAGCAGCCGCCGGCTCTGCGCCCGGCCAGTTCATTGAGTTTGCATGTTTCTCTGCACTACGGATTTTGAGCATTTAGATTTCTTTAATCAAAAGCGTTTTAGTGACTACAGTAGACGTTTTCTTTCAGAGGCATCATGCTTTGCATGAGAGCAGGCCAGAGTCGAGGGGAAAAGTCAAGTTAAAGTCGGTTCTCTTCCATAGCAACACACATTGTCTGACATTCAGCCAGCTTTTTTTTTTTTTTTTTTTTTCCTGATTATTTCTGTGCCTTCCTGTCCTGTATTTAGAAAAAGCAGCTAGAAGATTTCTCCACTAACCCTTGAGATTCACTGGACTGTCCAGCTCTGAGTCCTAGCAATAGACTCCTTAGAGCAGTAGCGAATTTATCTAGACTTACCTAGATAATGCAGGTGGATGCCCTGGGTTCCCGGGTGGGGCATTGCAGTTCTTCTTGTGTTTGGTTTCCAGGAATTACATGAACGACAGCCTTCGCACAGACGTATTCGTGCGCTTCCAGCCTGAGAGCATCGCCTGTGCCTGCATTTATCTTGCCGCCCGGACGCTGGAGGTCAGTGTGTTGCTACTATGGAGAGATTCTAGTCTGATTTTTTTCTCCAGTCTCCAGTAAACTTTATCGTTCTTCACATTACACTAACCTGGGCCAAAGCGTCGTGGCGACCAGGGGCTGTTTTTATCTCCCCGGGTTGGCCGGCGGTGCAGTGGAGGGAGGTGTCACAGTGATGGCGTTTGTGTCTGCAGATCCCTTTGCCCAGTCGTCCTCACTGGTTTCTTCTGTTTGGAGCAACTGAAGAAGAAATTAAGGAAATCTGCTTAAAGATCTTGCAGCTTTATGCTCGGAAAAAGGTTCTTCTGCATTTTGTCTTGTATGCGTTTGTGTTTGGCCAGAAAAACCTGGCTCTGAATGGCAACTTCTGGCTTTTGTAGGTTGATCTCACACACCTGGAAGGTGAGGTGGAGAAGAGGAAGCATGCCATCGAGGAGGCCAAGCAACAAGCCCGGGGCCTGCTGCCCGGGGGTACTCAGGTTCCCGACAGCACCGCAGGCTTCTCACCGGCCCCCAAGCTGGGTGAGTCTGTTAGGCGGTAGGAATCAGCTCCCCACAGGGCCCAGAGGCCGGTGATCCTCCTGGGCCTTCATTCTGGGGCATGTGCTCCTTCCAGACTCTTTTTCTGAGACAGGGTCTCTGTCACTCAGGCTGGAGTGCAGTGGTGTGATCATAGCTCACTGCAGCTTCCACCGCCTGGATTTAAGAGATCTCCGCATCAGCCTTGTGCATAGTTGGGACTGCAGGCACACGCCACCACACCCAACTGATGTGTTAGCTTTTTCATTGAGACTGGGTCTCGCTATGTTCTCTGGGCTGGTCTTGAATTTCCTGGCCTCAAGCCACTGTCCTGCCTTAGCGTCTCAGAGCGGTGGGAGTGTAGGCACCTGGCCTATCTGTTGATTAGCAGGGAGTTTGGACAGGCTGTATGAAACGCTTTTGTTGACCTGCTGCCCAGTAGCTTGTCATTTAGGGAAGGTGTCACAGTGCGGGCCGTGGATGATGTGATGATGTGTGTCATGCAGAGGGCCTGTTAGGCTGCTTCTGTGTTGGTTTTTTTAGATGAAGTTTTGGTTCTTGTTACCAGGCTGGAGTGCAGTGGCACAAACTCTGCCTCCCGGGTTCAAGCGATTCTCCTCCCTCATCCTCCTGAGTAGCTTGGATTACAGGCCTGTGCCATCATGTCTGGCTAATTTTGTATTTTTCGTAGAGATGGGGTTTCTCCAGGTTGATCAGGCTGATCTTGAACTCCTGACTTCAGATGATCTGCCTGTCTCGGCCTCCGAAAGTGCTGGGATTACAGGCGAGAGCCACTGTTTCTGGACTTTTCTTTTTTTTTGGTAGAGTCTTACTCTGTTGCCCAGGCTGGAGTGCAATGGTGAGATCTCGGCTCACTGCAACCTCCGCCTCCCAGGTTCTGGTGATTCTTGTGCCTCAGCCTTGCAAATAGCTGGGTTTACAGGCGCATGTCACCACACAGCTAACTTTTGTATTTTTAGTAGAGACAGGGTTTCACCATGTTGGGCAGGCTGGCCTCGAACTCTTGACCTCAGGTGATCCACCTACCTTGGCCTTCCAGAGTGCTGGGATTACAGGCGTGAGCCACCGCATCTGGTCCCATCTGCGTTTCTTTGATGTCTGTGTAAGTTCCAGGTCCTAGGCTGGGAGCAGGAAGTTAGAGTCGGCTTGTGTTTCTTGAACTCCTAACCTCAGGTGATCCACCCAGCTTGGCCTCCAAGGTGCTTGGATTACAGGCGTGAGCCACCGCGCCCAGCCACAGAGTCCGCTTGTGTTTCTACCTGTAGAGGGGCCTTTTTTTTTTTTTTTTTTTTTCAGACAGAGTCTCGCTGTGTCGCCAGGCTGGAGTGCAGTGGTATGATCTTGGCTCACTGCAATCTCCAACTCCCTGGTTCAAGCCAGTCTCCTGCCTCAGCCTCCCAAGTAGCTGAGATTACAGGCATGCGCCACCATACCCAGCTAATTCTTCTGTATTTTTAGTAAAGATGGGGCTTCACCATCTTGGCCAGGATGGTCTCGATCTTCTGACCTCGTGATTGGCCTGCCTCAGCCCCCAAAGTGCTGGGATTACAGGCATGAGCCACCGTGCCCAGCCAAGGGGCCTTACTTGCTCTACTAACTTGTTTCTTATTGGGAGAGTTTTTTTTGTGGTTGGCTTTTAACCTCTTGTTCTGCTTCTAGCGGAATCCCCCACGGAAGGTAAGGGGAGCAAGCCTTCCCCACTCTCCATGAAGAACAGCAAGAAGAGGGTAGAGGGCACCAGGAAGGCCAAGGCGGGCAGCCCCGTGAACGGGTAAGACCCAGAGCTGCCCATGTGGCTGTCGGGATAGGTTGGAGAAACTGGTGGTCTGTAACCGGCTCCTCCTGTTCACAGCTTGCCAAAGGGGCGAGAGAGTCGAAGTCGGAGCCGGAGCTGTGAGCAGAGCTACTCCAGGTCCCCATCGAGATCGGCTTCACCTAAGAGGAGGTGTGTGCCTCGGGGCGCACGGGGGAGACCCACACTGGGGTGGGGTGGGGTCATCCCTGGGGATAATCATTCTTACCCTGAGGTGGTTTCTTGTTTCTCTAAACCTGGAGGTTGTGGGTGTGTGTGTCTGAGATCCTGTGGGTGCGGCAGGCCTGGCCAGGCCAGGCGGTCAGACGTGTGGTGGTGCTGTCCTTCCCAGGAAAAGTGACAGCGGCTCCACCTCTGGTGGGTCCAAGTCGCAAAGCCGCTCCCGGAGCCGGAGTGACTCCCCACCGAGACAGGCACCCCGCAGCGCCCCCTACAAAAGCTCTGAGATTCGGGGCTCCCGGAAGTCCAAGGACTGCAAGTATCCCCCCCAGAAGCCACACAAGTCTCGGAGCCGGAGCTCGTCCTGTTCTCGAAGCAGGTCACGGGAGCGGGTGGGTAATCCGGGGAAATACAAGAAGAAGAGTCATTACTACAGAGACCAGCGGCGGGAGCGCTCCAGGTCGTACGAGCGCACTGGCCGTCGCTACGAGCGGGACCACCCTGGGCACAGCAGGCACCGGAGGTGAGGCGGGTTGCACAACGTGACTGGCGGGCGCGGGCCCTTCCGGGGAGGTACCTGATGGCTGTCCTGTGATTCCCTGGGTGCACTCCCTTAGCACACGTGGCCCTGTGGTAGGGCTCTTTTTGGAAATGTATTTTGACTGGACCTTGGTGGATTTGGAAATGGAATTGGGGGGCCAGTGACATGCGATTCATTCAGGCCGGTCTGCGGGGCGGCGCACACCTGGGATGTGCAGGGCCCCACGGCGGCAGCTCTGAGGGTGGCTGGATGAAAACGGGAACGCCCACGCTCTTGTTGCGTGGCCTGGTGCTATGGGCAGCCCCCTCTCCACTCCCCGACCGACACTCAATTACGGGAAGCCCAGAAAGATGATTTTTAGAACCTTTGCCTATATTAGGTTGTACTTATGTACATATTTTGCAGTATTTCACAGGAGAAAATGGCCTTAACTGCCCCTTATTCTCTCTCCATGTTGTAAATAAACATGTGTTTAATACAAGTTAAAGCTATATATGAAAACTCAGAATTTTAATCCTGTCAGCTTAAAACTTGTGTAGGGAACCCTGACTTAAAATGTGACAGCATTTGGATCTGTGTTGAAAGTCGTATATTTTTATCTGTGCAGCGCTGAGTGCAGGCCACCAGCTCCTAAACAGAGAGTCCCTAGGAGTGCATGGGACGCGGTGAATAAACACATCTCTCTCCACTCAGGGTATCTGGAGCGTTACAGACTTGGTAGGTGGTCGTCGTCTGTGCTTGTCAAAGTGTCCACACCGCACGCAGCCGGCGTCTGGCTCAGGGTTCTGGCTTCCCGCTCATACGATTCCGTTTGCCTGCCCTTCCGCTGAAGGCTTGTGAGGTCCTGAGCCCCCTGCCCTTGAGGACACAGGCTCCTTCCTGCAGGGCCGTGGGAGGGAAGTTTGGAAACAACAACAGAACGATTCTGGAGTGCTCTTGGGGGACTGGGTTGTAACCCATGATGTCTGTGTGTGGGCGTGAGAGGCAGCCGGGCGCAGGGGGAGGGTCGCACATGCAAATCCCAGAGTACTGGGATTATAGGCGGGAGCCAACCGGCTGGCGTACAGCAGTGCTTTTATTGAACTGGAGCTGGTTCTTGTGGGCAGGGACAGGGCAGAGGCAGTGGTCCCAGAGCTGCACTGTATTTTTGTGCAGGTTCACTTACATTCAAATTAAGGGATGAGTCACCAGGACTTTGCAGGGGTGGTAACATCTGGATTGTTCCTGGCTTTTGTTTGGAAAGGGGTGGTAACAACCTCCATGGCATGCATCTTGCACTCGCCGCTGCAGAGACGTCCAAAGCACTGACCCCATGCAGAGCCCCGCACGCAGCACAGAGCCCCCTTGCGACCCGGTTGTCCCAGGCCACCACTCTGTCCTGGGTGAAGGGTTGTTCCTGGAGAGTTGACACCAATCATGGTCCTGACCTTTTACGAGATGAGGATGGGAAGGGAAGGCAACAGGGTGGCCTGGCACGTGACCCCATGCAGCCTGCATCTCCGCGGTCTGGAGGAAGCAGATGGGAGGGAGCTCAGGGCTCAGGCTAGGGGGACATGGCGGAGGGTTCTGAGCTCCAGGACATGCCGC